AAGAAGTGACAGCAGGAATCCCGATCTTTTCCAGAAGACAAAGCGAACAAATAATGATGATCTGAGCTGCTCGATTTTTGTTTCAAAATAACACTAGCGATTACAACAGAAGAGGACGGGAAAAACATTTTTTTTATTAACAAATGAACCGGAGAAATCCAACTAAAATCCCATATGATACAAACGCGCTGCTAGAAAACCGAATATCATAAAATAAAACAGTCCATAGCAGTCGATGCGCCAAATTCAGCTGCCAAAGATGATAACATAAAGGATTTTTACGAGGAAGTCGATGTAGCATGACAGCAGGAAAAATAATCCACATGATGATGGTACTGGGACATTTTAGCGTCAAATCAGAAATGAAAATTGGTCGAAAGAATTTGTTGAAACCCTCTGGAATGGAAACAGGGGATGACAAAGGCTAAGAGCCACGGGCTTGGACCAGTGCATAAAATGCACAAGATGAATTCATTTCTAAAAAAAAGCGCTTTTAAAGGCACTGGAATTAGCGAGCGCCCAAAAACTCTCAAAATGAAACAATCTGTATTCTCAAAGAAAAACAATGGCCGTTGACAGCTACGTTCACCGTCGCGAAATCCGTATCTTCTTATGCTCTGATCACCATCTTATAAGAGCCAGCATCTAAACTGATTTCCGGGCTGAAACACAGACTGATAAAAAAGCCATCTACCACGAGCCAAAGTAATTCGCACCCAACCTTTTTCTGCACGAAATTTAAAGTGAGATATAAAAGAGGAAATGTTACCGATGCAGAAGATGGCTTTTAAGCTTAATAAATGCAAGGCTTCTAGCAAAACAATTACCATCGGAAGTCTCAGTAACCGTCCAAACCAAGAAATTTTGCACTTTTTTGAAGGAAATTAAAAATGTAGGGCTGTCGGTAATACGAGTCTGGAAATAAGCTTCTGTGCAAAAAACTGCGAAGAATGGCAACAGGCAATGAACATCAGTTTTCGAAAGGAGGAGCTACACAAAGCTGGAAGGGGAAACTCGCATTGGAAGAGTTTGGCAAGAGACGCTGTCGAATCAAAACACAGCAGTAGCGATTGTTGACAAGCGACACCGTAAAGCGTATGAATGTAACTGCCAAAAAAGTTTTGTTAGAGGTTTGTTTTAGCCAAATTTTGAATGCACAATCCTCGTTTTACCTCCCATCCAGTACTAGATCCAAGCAAAGACAGATGCGCAATAAATCCTGGCAAAAGGACAGAAAATCGAAAGATCGCTAACGAGTGAGCGGAAGGATAAGAGAAGCATCAGCGCGAATGGCATTCGTCTGCGAAAGAAAAAGCGGGATAGAATGCCAGAAACAGCAGTGAGCTGACCACTGTGATACTCGCTTCAGTCACAGCGGCACTGGGAAAGCCACCGGTTGCAATGGATGGTGCAGCTGTATACTCTGAAATAAATGGCAATTGATCAAGGTATTCAAGAACCAAGGTAAAGTATTACAAGAGGAAAAAATTTGATGGGGAAGATGAGGAAACCGCGGAAGTGCGGCAAAAAAGAAATAAAAAGAATACTGCAACACATCTGTTTCGTATTTTTGGCAAGAATTAAAAACAAAAAAAAAAAGAAAAATCAGAGCAAATAAAGCAAAATAAATTTAAATCCAACCCTAACCATTTGTATTAGCTAAATATTTTGCAAACTGTATGAACAGACACGTTTAGCTGACAGTGAATATAAATTGGTACAGCACAAAAAATGCATGTGTACTGAACCGCAAGTGGAAGTAAATCCAGCAACATGATTTTGGATAATATTTCTCCGCTAAATACTCGCTCTGGTTTTAAAATACACGCACATACATACATACACGCACGCACAGACTTACACACATACATACTCGCATACTGAAGAACACAAAGATTTTCGGAAAACCTGCCTTGGAAGACGCAAATTAAGCACCTTTTCCCGAGGAGGAAGAGGTTCGAAATCTTGAAACAAAAGTTGCTCAGAAAAAAGGCAATTATGTAACCCCATTGTATAAGATTTCCTCTCAGCAACCAAACAAACTATGTTGGAGCACTGGCACATTCTTAACTCATATTACTGAAATAAGGAGTTACAATCACTATTTCCACTGAACTGAGCTACTGAAGAATGACTGTTATACATGACGAACCCCTGTCCTGTTGTTCAAACACATCATAAATACTATGCGAGCTATCTTGTCTAGGATAAAAAAATTCTGCATTATGCTAGCAGTGCACGAGAACAGGACATGAGTGAGGATGAACGGGAAAATGAAGAAAAAAAATACAATTGACTTCATCCAAGCCAAAGACTATTACAAAGCAGGATGCTGCCAGATTTAAATTAACAAATCCGTAACAAAGAAAAAGAAAAAACCCAACTCGAAACAAAACACCATAAAAATAAACTCAAACCAATACCTCTTGAAATGATATTTACAGTCATAACTGTGCGTGGGAAAAAAGGGAATGAGGCCCGGAAAGAGAGGGAAGAGGGTGAAAAAAGAAGTGAAAAATGCTTGTACTGAAGCAAAGCCTTTCCGCACCTCTCTCTCGGAAAAAGAAGGGAGACAGAGCGAAAAGCTTTGCATCAGTGTAAGCATTCATCCAGAATGTAATAAACTGAAGTGCTTCTGTGTTAAGCACAGCTACGCGAAAAAAATAAGGTTAATCCACTTATACCACTGTCAGCCGAAAATGGAAAAATCCGTTTTCCGCTTCAAAACTAAACAGATCAAAATTCATTGAAAAAACATTAAGGAGTTACATCCAAGCAATTTCAAAAGCAATTCGGGAAAATTACGAAAACTAAACAAATAAAGGAACAGCCCTGAATAAAACACTTCTCCAGAAGCGTGGAGCACAGTAATGCTAAAAATATCACACGATGCTGTTTTAGATAAATCTAATCAGGTGTCCATCCTACCTCGCAGGGTAATTTTCAATTATTAGCAGTTGCTTGGGCTTTTTTAAAAATGAGCTCACTGCACAAGCAACCGAAGATGGAAAATTATCCGAAATCAGAAACTTTTGAACATGATCCAGTTAGCGGAATGTTGTTGGCAGCAAGTGATGCGGGTATTTCATTTACCAGGAATACTTGTAGGCATAAGGCATACAGTCTAATGAAAGCATATTGTCTTTCCGCTAGAACAGTCACAGGGGATACAAAAAAAAGCAATCAAAGACTGTGATGCAGCGATGGACACCACAAATCCATGAAGTGCGCATGAAAGGAGATTCATACAGTCGGCGCAGCTGCATTCTTCCGGCCACTGTGGTCGTTGCTCTTGCTACTAAGGCTACATGAGGGGCCTGCTTCTTGATCAGTGTGCTGCTCCTGCTTTGGCGATGACCATCCCTCAACATGATTTTTCAACACCTTTAGCTTAGCTCTAAGATCCTCGTGTTTCTGTCGCGTTTCCCGATACTCGCTACTACGCTGATAATGTTCATATCGAGCTTTGATCGCTTCTTCCATCTGCAATAAGAAAAACATTTTAATTTGTTTGCACGACGTACTCAAGTCAGAGATGAAACATGGATTGCTTCCCTGTCTCAGCTGTACAGAATCAACCATCCGAAGTCCGTTCCAATCGGAGCAGAAACACTCGTTCCATGACTTATTTCAACAGCAGCATAGTAACGGAATTATAACATCAGAACCCACCAAGATTCCAAATCTCATCACGATAGACACCTACCCAAATGTTTAGTGCGCTAGAAGCTTTACAGCAGTTTCAGCCTGTTCTCAAGCATTTGCCAAAAATGATTTAACGCGTAAGTGCTGCTTCTGATGAATCGTAACTGCCAGGGGTTTACACCAGCAATAGTTTCTAATCAAGTATGAGGAAGTTTTTAGCTGGGTTCAAGAGTTTTACGCAATCCCAGACAGAAATTCTGCAGTAAAACCTGATTTTTTTAGAACTCAATAGAACACAAGGATCGTAACTGCAACGACAACACGGCCGCGCTTCGCTGGCAAAACTGACATTCCATAACCGTGTTGGTTTTGAAGATAACAACACTGAACAAGTGTTAACGGCAATAAGATTACGGTTATAAGGCTGCTGGTGAGATAATCCGCTATTTTTTTTTTTTTTTTTTAATCGATTACGGCTACAATGTTTAGAGCTCATTACTTACATACTTTTGCAGGATTTTACAAAAATGGCATTTTTTCAGGCAACTACTAAACTCGGGTCAGCTCGGCACGGCTCGGCTCGGCCGGTGCGTTTTGCGCCCCAATGAGGCGTCTGCCATCTCTGGTAACACTATTTCGTATCGCCAGAGACAAGAAGCAGTTGGCGACGT